AAGTGGAGAAAAGAAACAAATCAAGAAGTCCACCCAAAGTGTCAACTTCCTGTTCTGAACTGTTCTCTTACTCCTCCATTTATCACATACTGTCTTGTATTTTAAATCACCTTACATCAGTCTTATTTTCATAACTGTACTTTGTAAGCTCTTTGTTTTTGCTTTGCTTTGCTTTGTTTTGAGACAAAGTCTGGTTCTGTTGCCCTGGCTAGAGTGCCATGGTGTCAGCCTAGCTCACAGCAACCTCAAACTCCTGGGCTCAAGCAATCCTTCTGCCTCAGCCTCCTGAGTAGCTGGGACTACAGACATGCAGCACCCTGCCCGGCTAATTATTTCTATATATATTTTTAGTTGTCCCAGTAATTTCTTTCTATTTTTAGTACAGACAGTGTCTCATTCTTGCTCAAGCTGGTCTCGAACTCCTGACCTTGAGTGATCCTCCCACCTCAGCCTCCCAGAGTGCTAGGATTACAGGAGGCATGAGCCACCAAACCCGGCCACTTTAAGCTCTTTGAAAGCAGAAGTTTTATCATGTACAACACTGTACTCTCAAATTCTCAGTATTTATCAAATAAGAGAATGGATGAATAAATTAATACACTTTGCTCTCCTACCACATCAAATCTAAATTCCTTGGTTTTATATCCAATAATATTAAAAATACTGGCTAACCATAACTGAATAGTTGCAATGTGGCAAACTCCTGTGTCACACCCTTTACAAGCACCAATACTCAATCCCCACAATGACAATAGACAATTGGTAAGGACAATTGGTAAGAGTCAGGAGTCAAACCCAGGTAATCTCATACTTAACTCTGTACACTAAACTCTGTACCACCCTGCCTCCCAGGGATTACATATCTACTAAACCTGATTTCCCACTTCTTCCCAACAAGTTTTTCCCAACAGTTACCTCTGGTTAAACTGGTTTCCTCATCATCCCTCCTCTCTGCCTTCCTTCCTATCTTCTTCATATATGCCTCTCCTAATTTTGTTCCACCTTCTTCTAGTGTCCTGATTTTTCTTTCTGTTAATTCTAAAGTACCAGGTTCAGGTACATCCACTTACTGATTACTCTGACCTTCGTTGACATGTCAATTAATAAAAGCATGCCTTGTAGAACTTTCTTGTAAAAGATGTGGCAATATTTCTGCAAGAGAAGTATAAATGCCTCTAAGGGTTCATGAAATCCTGGGTGATTTGCCTAAATTATCTGGATAGTTTGTTTACCTCTCAATTCATTTTAGCACGGCTAACTCTGCATTCAGGAACATATTTGTTCTCATTTCACAAAAGAAATCATAGTGGTGTTACTAGCGGGCAATTGTCCTCTCTTCTTGGAGTTTGGAGACAAAGAATTGAAACCAAAGGAGCAAAGCAAAGTGAAAGAAGCTTATTTAGAAGGTATGCTTCCAGCCATGGAGGAGAACTGCCAAGAAAGATTAGCAAGCTCCAGAAGGGCAGGTAGGAACAGGCACACATCCCAGCAGAATTGTGGTATCGAGGGGGTCCTGAAACCAATGTCTCAAGGATACAATTCATGAATGCTCAAGTCCCTTGTATTAAATGGCATGATATTTACATATAACCTACATACATGCTCCTGTATACTTAAATCATCTCTAGATTATTTATAATATCTAACACAATATAAATACTATGTCAATAGTTATACTACATTGTTTTTTATTTATTGTTGTATCATTACTTTGATTTATTTATTAAAATATTTTCTTTTTTTTTTCTTTGAGACAGAGTCTCATTCTGTTGCCTGGGCTAGAGTGTTATGGCGTTAGCCTAGCTCATAGCAACCTCAAACTCCTGGGCTCAAACAATCCTCCTGCCTCAGCCTCCTGAGTAGCTGGGACTATAGGCATGTGCCACCATGCCTGGCTAATTTTTTCTATATATATTTTTACTTGTCCAGATAATTTCTTTCTATTTTTAGTAGAGATGGGGTCTCTCTCTTTCTCAGGCTGGTCTCGAACTCCTGAGCTCAAATGATCCTCCCACCTCGGCCTCTCAGAGTGCTAGGATTACAGACGTGAGACACCTCGCCTGGCCTTTTTTTGAAATATTTTCAATCCAAGGTTGGTTGAATCCTCAGATGCAGAACCTGCAGATTCAGTGGGCTGACTCTGCTTCCTCTGATATTAGAAGACTTAGGATTTCTTACATTACTGTATTTCGTAAGGATACTGGCAGTAATTCTTAATGTCTGTACTTGCTTCGGCAGCACATATAAAATTGGAATGATACAGAGAAGATTAGCATGGCCCCTGGGCAAGGATGACTTGCAAATTCACGAGGCGTTCAGAATAAATAAATAAATAAATAAATTTTCCTAAAGTCCCTGGAGAAGTCTTTCCCTCTGTCATGTACATGGGCACGCCTGACCCTACTCACAGTCTAGAAACACGTCTACCAACATAACTTGATTTGAGGAGTATCACAAAGGCCAGCATGCCCCAAATATCTTCTCTACAGTTCTTCCTCAGCACCATCTTACTTGACCAGAAATATCACTATTAGAGCCAATTATTTGAATGAGAAAAAAATAATTTTTGTCTAATTGATTACAAAGACCATTGTTAAAAGTCACCATGCAAGACCTGAAAGAGTAGAGAAAGCTTGTGAGTATGTTAAGTGGAGGACAATAAAAGCAGTTCATATTTTCTGAGTGTTGTGTGCCAAACTCTATGCTGTGCACCTTACATGGAACATCTTGTCCAACATTTCACATTCTTTGGTGTTCAGAAGTCATCTGTGAGACTTGTTATCTACACAGAATCTTGTAACTCATCATTGAATATTCTGATTCAACAAGTGCTATTGCTGATAGTAATTCTCAACAACCATACTAAGGCCCACTGAAGTGTTTTTATTATTATTCTCATTTTTCAGAGGCTCGGCAAGACCATGCAGGATAAGGGTTCTGTGGTATAATATGAAATATATTTGGTCTTTGTCCCTGGCTCCTGTCAGAGTTCCTAAAAATTTTTGCAAGTTCTTGAGTGTCAGGAGTATCTTTAGTTACCCATAACAAACCCCCATCATACACCTGAGTTTATGCTAATGCAGTGACTCAGCTGGGGCCTCTAGATAGACGCAGATGGGACTTGTGTCAGAAAAACAAGTGATTAAAGGAATAGAAGGTTGGAACTTTTAGCCCCACTTACCAACCTCCAGGACAGGTGAAGGGTGGTAGGGTAGAGATTAAGCTCTATAAAAACAAGGGGATTTGATGAGCTTTCAGGTTGCTGAAAGGTGTTGCTGAGGTGTTGGGAGGGTGGCAGGCCAGAGAGGAATGGAAGCTTCACAGCCCCAACCTCAATACCCTGCCCTATGCATCTCTTCCATCTGGCTGCTCCTGAGTTATATCTTTTATAATAAACCCGTAAATGCAAGTAAAGTGTTTCCCTGAGTTCTATGAGCCATCCTACAAATTATGGAACACATGGAGGCAGATTGTGGTAACTTCAATTTATAGCCGATTGGTCAAAAGTACGGGTCACAATCTGGGACTCACCATTGGCTTCTGGAGTGGGGACAGTCTTGTGGGATTTAGCCCTACTTGCTCAGTCTGTGGAATCTGACCCGATCTGCAGGTTGATAGCATGAGAATTGAATTGAATTATTGAACACCCAGTGTCTGTTGTAAAATTACTTGGTATGTGCAAGAAAAACTCCTGTACGTTTTGGTGATCGGAAATGAAATAGAGTGTGTTGAGTACCAGCAGAGAGAAAAAACTTTCTGTCTTTTCCTTTACAGGCTCCTTATTGCCCCACACTGGTAGGTTACTTGATCAGCTAATTATCACCTTGTGTTGGGTCCCATGAAGCTAATATATGAGGTAGAGATGGCAGGCTGGCAGGTCTAGCATTCTAGCAAGACTGATGGAGTTCTGTGTTCCTTCTGTCAATTAAAAATGTTCACATTCTTCTAATTGTTTTTTGTTTCTTTTTTGAGACAGAATTTCCCTCTGTTGCTGGCTAGAGTGCAGTGGCATCAGCCTAGCTCACAGCAACCTCAAACTCCTGGGCTCAAGCGATCCTTTTGCCTCAGCCTCCTGAGTAGCTGGGACTACAGGCATGTGCCACCATGCCCGGCTAATTATATATATATTTCTTTTTTAGTTGTCTAGCTAATTTCTATCTATTTTTTTAGTAGAGACAGGGGTCTCACTCTTGTTCAGGCTAGTCTTGAACTCCTGAGCTCAAGGCAGCCTGCCTTGGCCTCCCAGAGTGCTAGGATTACAGGCGTGAGCCACCGCGCCCAGCCTAATTGTTTATAATTAAAACTTTCTAAAACTTTTTATTTGTGCCTTACCTTGAGTTACTTGTTAGTTGTTGATTTCTAAATGTCTCTCTTTTCACTTTTACCCTGTCAGGCCCATGATAGCTGTCCTTGACTGTTAGAATGGCCTTAATATCCTGCTTAACCTCCTCAGACATCCACTCTGCACATTGTTCAGAGTTCAAAAACCTTCAGATATTTTCTATTACAAAAAAAGAATTGTGAATCTCAAGAGGTCAGACTTTATTGAAATGAACTGTAGATTATTAAACGATTGATGACCTGAGTAAAACGGAAATGGCAAGATACGAAATCAAGGAAAGCTACATTGCGTTTTCTATTTGTATATTATTTTAAATTTTTTCATGAAGTAGCCGCTACATTTTTCAAGAACAAATGATAACAGCACAATTTTTTGAATACAGTGTTTATATAGTTGTCTATGTGACATAAACCAGTTTCCAATGTTACAAAATAAACTTCACGTAAATTCTTGTGGTTATGTATTTGGGAGCCTTTGGGGGACTCCGCAGCTCCCATCTGTTGCTCGGAGCGGTTCGGGACCCTAAAACGGTTAGGAACGGCTGCTTAGATAAGTGTGAATGCCGCAGGGAAAGGCAACAGTCCCTCTTTCAGAATCCCGTGACTGACAGCACTCGTGAGAGGGGCGTGTTGCACGGGCCACACTCCGCCCGCGGGCCGCCCGGGCCGCGGCTCCGGAAGGGCGCGCACAGCGCGTTGGCCGCCGCCCGCGGGACGTTCGCTCGGGAGGGCTGCAGGGCAGGACGGTCCCCGCCCAAAGACGCAGAGGCACCGCGGGATCCCGGAACCGCGCCCGTCGTCCCTGCCGCCCCTGGTCGCCCTGCCATGGCCTCGCGCCTCCTCCGCGGGTCCCTGCGCCTCCTGGGCAGCCGCTGTGCGCCGCGCCCGCCGCCCGCCGCGAGGTGAGTGCCCGCCGGGGCCTGCACTCCGGGCCGGGAGGCTGCAGGGCAGGGGCGACACCGGCCGTTTCGGGGGCTTGGAGCGGGGGATGCCCACTCTCAGGTCCGGGGACAGTGCCGAGCCTTGTCCCCCGGCTCCCAGAACCTGGGTGTGACTGGCTTCTGCCTGCAGGGCAAGGGGTGTCGGCCGTGCAGCCCCCAGAACTGACAACCCCCACACGCAGAGAAAGATTCGGCCAAACGCCCACTCCGGGGCCCCAGTCCAGCCCGCCGAGTTCGGCGGCCTTGCAGGGAGACCCGGGAACCCACACTGTGAAGAGTTCCCGCAAGTCGGGGGGCGAGGGGTTGGCGGCCTCCTGGGCGCAGCTGCCAGAGCTGGGACTGCGACCTTTGTCCCAGTTAGAGCTGTGACAGGCGGTGGCCGCCACGTTTTAGACTCATGCCTGATAGTGAACTTGAGAATTGGACTCACGCGGCACGGACCAGAAGTGTCCAAGACAAGTAATCCGGGATAGAAATGACTTGGTGAGGGAATTAACTGGCAAGGAAATTAGATTTATTAACAGATCCTTTAGCCAGATGCGGAGGGGTGAAGACAGAGTCTTAAATGTCTCGGTGACTATTAAGATGTTGTTTACAATAAGATTAAAAGCTTCAGATACCAAATAAAGCATAAAATCCATTGAGTAAACAAACTGGAAGAACCGAGGGTTCATTATTTAATAACGATAAAAGGACTAGTAAATTAGGTAATTACACCAGCGTTGTCAAGTACTGAAAGACACTGTAAGAGCTGGGAGAGGGACAGTCTACTCTGCCGGTTGGGAAGGCTTCACCAAGAAGGTGATATTTCTTTAGGATACATATATTTTAATAAATTCTTCCCTGGGACATCATAAAACAGTAATCCTCAAACTTTTTGATAACAGGACTCCTTTATGCTATTAAAGTTAGAGGACTCCAAAGATCTTTTGTTTATGTAGATTATATCTGTCTATATCAATAGCAATAGGTGTCTTACAAAACTGAGAAATTTTACAAATAATTTAATTCGTTAAATGTAACAATAACAGTCCAGGCATGGTGGCTCACGCCTGTAATCCTAGCACTCTGGGAGGCTGAGGTAGGAGGATCAATTGAGGTCGGGAGTTAAAGACCAAGCTGAGCAAAAGTGAGACCCTCCTCTCTACCAAAAGTAGAAAAAATTAGCTGGGTATGTTGGCGTTGGCCTGTAGTCCCAGCTACTGGGGAGGCTAAGGCAAGAGGATTGATTGAACCCAGGAGTTTGAGGTTGCAGTAAGCTATGATGATGCTACTTCACTCTGCCCTGGCCACAGAGCAAGATTCTGTCTCATAAATAAATAAATAGTAACAATAATAAGCCCATTACATGTTAACATGAATAACATTTTTGTGAAAAATAACTTTTCCTCAACAAATGGCAAAAAGTGAAAAGAATTACATTGTTTTACCTTTTTGCAAATCCCTTAATGTCTGCCTTAATAGAAGTTATTTTGGTTGAAATATGGGAAGAGAATCTACCTTCATATAAAGAATATTGGAAAAGGGAAGACCTGAGTGCCCCTGTGAATGGGCCAAGGACTGTAGTTTTATTAGAATAGGCTTCTTGAACTTTAATATATTAATATATATTATGAATTACTTAGGGATGTTGTTACTAGTACAGATTCTTTCTTTTTTTTAATTTTTCTTTCTTTTCTTGAAAATTTGAGTAGGTAGTAACTAGTGCAGATTCTGATTCAGTAGGTCTGGGATGAGGCCTGAGATTGTATATTTATAACCAGCTACCAGTTGTCCTGGTGGAGATTGTTTTCCTTTTAAAATGTAAATGAGGCTTTAAAAAATTAGTTTTATTGTCTTAGGGGAAAAAAGCCAATTTTTTTCAGTATAGTTTTCTTGTCTTTAGACTAAGAAATAGATGGCAACAAATTTGCTGCCAAGTGTTTTAATTTCCCTCCCACTGCATATTCTCTCTTAACCAGCTTTGACCTGAAAGTCTTTTGCATTTCTTTTGCCTTCCTGTGTCTTCATGTATTTTACTTAGAAATATTCCAAAGATTTCCTTAACACAATGTGGGCTATAACATTTCAAGATCTAGGCAGACTTGAATGAAAATTCCGACTCTATTATTCACTCACTATGTTGACAAATAAATGATTCAGTGTCCTAGAGCCTCAAGTTCCCAGTCTCAGGATATTTTTTCCTGAGGAAAAATCTCAAGTATGGAAAATCTGTGTGAACAAATAGGTGCTTTGTAGTTTTATTTCTACTAGCAAGAAATTAGAACCATCATTTCAATTATAAAGATAAAGTAGATTTTAGTTTATTGGCTGCAACATGACAGTGGTCTGCAAGGCCCCCTGCGTGTCCTGGTCCCTGGTTATCTCTGACCTCTCACCTACTACTCTTACCACACAATCCACCCCAGCCACACTTGGCCTTCTTGCCCATTTGATCACAGACTTTGCTCTAGTTCTTTTGTCCTAATTTTTTTTGTTGTTCTAGAAATATGCATGGCTCATTCTGTGACCTTCAAGAGTTTGGTCAGATCTCACCTTTCTAGTTTAACCTACCCTGACTGCGCTATTTCATTCTGAAACCTCTGTCCCTCTCTTGCCCCAGACACACACTCCTGATCCCTTCTCTACTTGTATATTTTCATATTAGTGATCACCTTTTAAGATATTATATTATTGGTTTATTTACTGCATTTATCATTTATTATCATTCAGTCTCCTCTTGGTAGAGTGTAAGATTGAAGGCAGGATCTTTGTCCTCATCTTAGTCCTTTGTTCATTATTGCATTCCAAGTTACTAGGTAGAACAATGCTTGGCACAGAATACGTATTCAGTTATTTGTTAACTAAATGAACGAATAAGCCATTAAAATGATGATTTGGATAACAAGAGTATAGTAATCAGAAAAATGTTTATGAAGACAAAAAGCAGACCAACTATAAAAACTGTATTAAATGTTCACAGCGAAAGGTTATCATTTAAAAGGCATCTCAGATTATATTAACAAAGCTCAATTAAAAGTTGCATATATAAAAGATAAGCCTAGGGCAAAACAACACTAAACCTAGGGCAACTCTGGCTGCCATAACAAAATACCATAGACTGGCTTGCTTAAACATGCAGTCCCCAATCCCTGGGCCACAGACCAGCACCAGGGTCCATGGCCTTTAGGAACAGGGCTGCACAGCAGGCCGTGAGTGGTGGGCAAGCCAGCAAAGCTTCATCTGTATTTACAGCCACTCCCCATGGCTCTCATCACCACCTGAGCTCCACCTCCTATCACATCAGTGTTGGCATTAGATTCTCATAGGAGCACTAACCCTACCATAAACTACACATGTGGGGGATCTAGCTTGCAGTCTCTTTATGGGAATTTAATGCCCGATGATCTGAGGTGGAGCTAAGGTGGTGATGCTAGTGCTGGGGAGTGGCTGCAAATACAGATTATCATTAGGAGAGAGGTTTGACTGCACAATAAGTGTAATGCACTTGAATCAGCCTGAAACCCTCCCCACCCCCATCTATAGTAAAATTGTCTTCCATGAAACCAGTCCCTGGTGGGAAAAAGGTCAGGGGCCACTGACTTAAACAACAGAAATTTATTTCTCAGAGTTCTAGAGGCTGGGAAGTCCAATATCAAGGTGCCAGCCAATTCAGTTCCTGGTGAGGGTTCTCTTCCTGACTCGCAGACTGCTGCCTTCTCACTGTCTTTTCTTTTCTTTCATTTCTTTTCTTTTCTTTTCTTTTTTCTGAGACAGAGACAGAGTCTCACTCTGTTGTCCAGGCTAGAGTGCCGTGTCATCAGCTAGCTCACAGCAACCTCAAACTCCTGGGCTCAAGCAATCCTTCTGCTTCAGCCTCCCAAGTAGCTGTGACTACAGACATGCACCACCATGCCCAGTTAATTTTTTCTATATATTTTTAGTTGACCAATTAATTTCTTTCTATTTTTAGTAGAGATGGGGTCTCATTTTTGCTCAGGCTGGTTTTGAACTCCTGACCTTGAGCGATCCTCCTGCCTCAGCCTCCCAGAGTGCTAGGGTTACAGGTGTCAGCCACCATGCCCGCCCTTCACTGTGTCTTCAAATGATCTTTGGGCATGAATGTAGGAGTTGGTGGGGAAGAGAGAGGGGAAGAGAAAGAGAAAGACTGAGAGACTAACTCTTCTCATAAAACCACTAGTCCTATCAGATTAAGACCCTACCCTTCTGACCTCATTTAACCTTAATTAACTCCTAAAAGCCCTATCTTTAAATTCAATCACATTAGGAGTTAGGATTTCAGTGTTTGAATTTTAAGCGGACATAATTCAGTCCATAGCATTAAGCAAAGACAAATAAATAAAACTAGAACCAAATAACCCATTTTAGGGGGAAAAAATGAACTGTTTAAAGACTATGCGGTGTAGCCACACCTCAACAGCTATAAAAAAAATAAATAAATAAATAAATAAATAAATAAAATAAATAAAAATAAAGACTATGCGGGAAAAAACCCTTTAAGTCTACTTTGAGTAACTATATTAACTAGGTCTTTTCTGGACAAAGACTAAAAAAGAAAAGAAGAAAAAGCACGGTCCAAATAAGGAAGAGAGAAAATGAAATCAGAATTTAATGTAAAACAGAAAAATACCTCTTGGTAATATTTTAATATATGATAAAAAATGTTTTAGATGTGAGCTTGAGAATATACAAAGTGGTACACAGATTTTCAAAATTCCTTTCAGAAGTACCTCAGGGGAAAAAAATCAGGTCATTGGACTAAAGGAACTACAGGGCAGTCTCATATTAAGCTTGATGTGTATGGGGGTGGATCTTGAATAATCCCATGGGAATTCTTACGGAAGTTGGTTCACAGATTGGCTGTGATGTGTTGATAACATCCATCAATGTTAATGTGTTGATAACATCCATCAATGTTAATGTGTTGATAACATCCATCAATGTTAATGTGTTGATAACATCCATCAATGCAGTTTATATTTTGTCTACTTGCCATTTGAAATTTTATGATTCTGGATAAAATACTAGTTTGGGAGGGCTTGTATTATTTTAAACATTGTATATTACACAAAAATTTATCAGTATTATTCTGTCATACTATTTGAATTTTACATAATTTAAGCAATGTATCATGTAACACTGTTTCACCTCAACTCAGTCCTGTGGTTAGTTCTAGGTATTGTCCTCTTTATGGATTTGGAGGTGGAGACTGAGATGAATAATGATAAACTACTTCTTAATCCCAGCTAGGCAAGGTAGATCCCATCAAACATAGTGATGCTCATATCTGAACTCAGGTTTATCATATTTCAAACTCTTTCTACATCCTCTAAAATGTCTCTGGAAAAAAAAAATCAGGGTTCCATGCTGTTCATTGGCATTAATTTTAGTATTGAAAAGTAACAATACTCTTAATTTACTTAACGCATATATTTTTTTAGATGTTCTCATTCTGGAGGGGAAGAACGACTAGAAACTCCTTCTGCTAAAAAATTAACAGATATAGGAATTAGAAGAATCTTTTCTTCAGAGCATGACATTTTCCGGGAAAGTGTAAGGAAGTTTTTTCAAGAAGAAGTGGTTCCTCATCACTCAGAGTAAGTGACACATTTTCCTTTAATGTAATATAAAACAGTGTTTACATACACTATGAGTACAATAAGACTGTTTCCTACAAGGCTGTATGTTGTATAGAAAAAATCCTATGTTCACTGCTTTATTGACATTTTTACTGCTCTTCACCATAATACTGTAAGATCTCAGGATTCTTATGTTAGTTCGGAGCTTTCTAAATGAATTTTAAAATGTACAATACAAAAATAAGAAAGTTTGAAAATTTGCAATTTAATCTAAGAGTGGTATTTTTGAAAACTATGGTTAAGTGGCAAAAAAATACTAGTCAACTTGATGGCCTTTCTTTCTGCCTCATGAATTGATTAAAATATGTAAAAGCTCAAAAGGCTGACATAATACAAATTTTGACAGGCAATTAGCTACTTCTAATCATTTTTACTACTGGATATTTCTTGATTAATTACTGATTATTGACCCCAAATCTGTCATTTCCTTTATCAGTATTATTATTATTATTTCTGTGATTGATTCCAAAAAATGTCACTTCTTTATTCAGTGCCAGTACAGATGCTCTTTGACTTAGAATGGGGTTACATCCTGATAAAACCATCCTAAGTTGAAAATATTGTTAGTTGAAAATGCATTATTATTCTGTTAACACTGTTTTATGTTATTATTTTAAAAAACACAAAAATTCTCAGCACTGTTACTTTGTTAGAAACAGAAATTAAAATATTTATAAAAACAAAGAGAGAAAATGTTCAGGAATATCATAGGTTTGTGAGGTTTGACACACCTAACCTACTGAACATCACAGCTTAGTTTAGCCTAACTGAAATGTGCTTAGAACACTTACATTAGCCTACAGATGGGCAAAATCATCTAACACAAAGCCTGTTTTGTAATAAAGTATTGAATATCTCATGTAATTTATTAAATACTCTACTGAAAGTAAAAAAAAAAGGCCATACGAGTCCTAGAAGTATAGTTTCTACTGAATGCATATCACTTTCACACCATTGTAAGTCAAAAAGTTGATAAATCAAACCATCATAAACCAGGGATTGTCTTTACTTTACAACATTTAGAATTGTTTTTAAATATTATTTTAAAACAGCTTTCTTTAGGTTTTTACTAGTGCTTTCTTGGTAAGAATGACCAAAATTAGCTAAACTCAGAAGCTGTGACTAGTTTTTGGTAAAAAGCAACTATCTCCTAAAGACAAGAGAGACATGCTATACTTTTCTATTGGAGAATCTCTTTTGTTTATTTTTTTACTGCTTTTACATTTTGTTCCAGGGCTGGACATGGTGACTCACAGCTGTAATCCTAGCACTTTGGGAGGCCCAGGCAGGAGGATTGCTTAAGGCAAGGAATTTGAGACCAGCCTGAGTAAGAGCAATACAAAAATTAGCCAGGTGTGGTGTCGAGTGCCTGTAGTCCCAGCTACCTAGGAGGCTGAGGCAAGAGGATTACTTGAGCCTAGTAGTTGGAGGTTGCAGTGAGCTATGATGATGCCACTGCACTTGGGCAACAGAGTGAGACCCTGTCTCGAAAAAAAAATTTTTTTTGTTTCAGAAAAAATTGTTAAGAAGAGCTTAAAGTAAAAATAGTAAAAGTTGACAAATTTTGGGTCAATAATAAAAATATTTCCAAAGCTACTTGAAGCAACAACTACATTAAAACACATGTGATAATCAAATTATTTTTTAAAATTTCTTATGGTATCTATGTCTACTTTCAATCAGTATTTTAAAATACCTCATATCTTACTAACTATATCTACCACTTAAAAAAAATTCTCACATTTTTTTTGGTCTCCAACTAGCCATCTGTTTCTTCATCATGCCATTCTCTCTTTTTTGGGGGTGGGGGAGGGTGAGTATGATTTTTTTTATTGTTGAGTTATAAGATTTCTTTATATATCCCAGACAGTCCCTTATCAGATATCTGATTTGAAAATATTTTCCTCCATTCATGGGTTGCTTTTTCTTTTTTTAAGAGACAGAGTCTCAGTCTTTTGAGGCTAGAGTACAGTGGCCTGATCAATCATAGATCACTGCAGCTTTGACCATGCCTGGCTAATTTTTTTTTATTTTTACTCTTTTAGAGATGTTGTCTTGCTATGTTGCTCAGGCTGGTCTCAAACTCCTGGACTCAAACAATCTTCCCACCTCAGCCTCCCAAAGTGCTGGGATTACAGGCGTGAGCCACTGCGCTCAGCTTTCCACTTTCATTTTTAAAGGACAAAAGCTGATGTTACCTAAATATCTAATGTTTTCAGAAGTTCCTTTGACAGAGCTATGCTGCAAGGTGCTTCTGCTCTCCTGTTATTCCTATTTAAACTGTAATGAGGTTGCCTACTTTGTCAGCTTTGATATGCTTGTCCCATAAATTCAGCACTTTAAGGAAATATGCTGAAGAGAATTACCTTTACAAGTCAGGTTGGATTAATTCCCATAACCACATGACACAACCAAGCTTGTACCATCAGAGCACTAGCTTAGCAAAACTACATCAGTGATTACCAGTGAGTATAATTTTCAAGTCTAATAGTCAAGGTTGGGAGGAAGAAGTGGCAGATATAAAAAAGTAAAAAAGAAAAAAAGAAGTATAATAAGAGTCAGATTCAAGTAGAAGTGTATGGCCAGTGTCAACAGTTACTTTAAATTAAGAGGACATTTTTGCACAAAATCATTCATAAATTCAAAGTTGTGGCCATTTAAATGATACAAAAATATTGATTTTAAAATATTTGTCATTTGCAGATGGGAGAAAGCTGGAGAAGTGAGTAGGGAGCTTTGGGAAAAAGCTGGAAAACAAGGACTGCTTGGTGTCAACATTGCAGAACATCATGGTGGTATTGGTGGGGACTTGTACTCTGCAGCTGTTGTTTGGGAGGAGCAGTAAGTATAGAGACATTCGAAGTTGAGTCTTGTTTCATAAGCATGCTGCTCACCTTCCTGAGATGATTTTTAAAAACAAAATGCTTAATCTTCTTGGACAATTGAAAATTCAGTGTAAAATAGAAGAGATTATAATAAAAATAGTTGCTGTGTTAGGAGAATACAATTGTAGGTTATTGCTATTTTAAAATATTTTATCTCTTAATTCATTAAATAAGTGTTTATTTAGCTTTGTTAGGATCACTGTTATTATGATAGAACCGGAAATTAAAAGATTAGTAAAATCAAAAAGAGAAACCATTCAGGAACGTCATCATAGGTTTGTGAGCAGGCAGGCTATTATAACACAATGTGATTAAAAACTTTAATACTTTGTTGTTGTATTAGTCATGTTTTTTTTTTTTTATTTTGGCATATTATGGGGGTACAGATTTTAAGGTTTCAATAAATGCCCATCCCCCCCTCCTCCCACAAGTCTGAGTCTCCAGCATGACCATCCCTCAGATGGTGCGCATATCACTCGTTATGTATGTATACACTCGCCCCCCCCATACCCTATTACTGTAGTACCTATGTGTCCACTTAGGTGCTACTCAGTCAATACCAGTTTGCTGGAGAATGTATCTGGTGCTTGTTTTTCCATTCTTGGGATACTTCACTTAGTAATATGGGTTCCAGCTCTAACCAGGAAAATATAAGATGTGCTATATCACCATTGTTTCTTAGAGCTGAATAGTACTCCATGGTATACATATACAGTCATGTTTTAATTGAAAATCAAAGAAACTGAAAACAGAATAAAATACCTATTTTGTGTTTTAAATTTTCTTCTTTTTTTTATTCTAAGATCATATTCAAATTGTACAGGCCCAGGTTTTAGTCTTCATTCAGATATTGTCATGCCCTATATTGCAAACTATGGCTCAGAAGAACAGATTAAACAATTCATCCCCCAGATGACTGCAGGCAAATGTATTGGTGCCATAGCAATGACAGAGCCTGGGGCTGGAAGGTAAGTCAAAATTTAGTTGGCTTTGAATTCTTGGAAGCCCTTACATTTTCTCAGTACTTGGTTTATGTAAGACTCTGAACTGGGTGCTGGGAAGAATACAAAGATGAACACATAATTCATGACCTCAAGTAAAATTCCAGTAGGAAAATAACAATAAAGTGGATTTTAGTATGTGCTTTGTTTGAGATATTAACATAGCTTTTTATGCAAATAAAACGGTGGGGTATGAGTTGAATTTTGAGCATGATGAAGTGAGGTGAGTCACATGTAAATGTCAAGCAACTTGTCAAAAAGTGTATTTAGAACTCTGGAGTCATGGTGCAGTAGCAACAGTTTTAAAAGTCTTTCATAGACTGGGTGTCGTGGCTCACAGCTGTAATCCTAGTACTTTGGGAGGCCAAGGAGGAAGGATTGCTTGAGGCCAGGAGTTCAAGACTACCCTGAGCAACATAGAGAGACCTGTCTCTACAAAAAAATAAAAATTAATTGGGTGTAGTGGCGCAGGCCTATAGTCCTAGCCACATGGGAGGCTGAGCCAGGCAGATCACTTAGCCTAGGAGTGAGACGTTTCAGTGAACTATGATTGTGCCACTGTATGCTAGCCTGGGTAACAGAATGAGACCCTGTCTCAAATCATACATACATACATACATAAGTCTTTCTTAAATAAGCAAGAATTGATGCAGTGGGAATGAATAAGATCATGTATTCAGTCATTTCCTGACTATTTAGTAAGTGCCTTTAATGTGTCAGGTATACAATGGTGAGCGAAACAGATGTGGTCTCTGTACTTATTGAGGAGAATGACAAGAACAAGCAGACAAATACATTTGTAATTATAAATTATGATAAGTATTGTGAAGGAAACTGAGTGCTATGCTATAGACTAATGGTATGTTTGTGTTTAGTGGGAGAAGGAAAAACAAATTTAGACATAAATACTAAAAAAGGCCTTTGAAAAGTGGTTGTATTAATATTTAAACCGAGATCCCATGAATGAAAAGAAACCAGTTATGTAAGAATGGGGGGAAGAGCTTCCACATAGCAGGACTTGATCCTCAAGGGGACAAGCGGAAGGACAAAAAAGGGACCAAGGAGTAACCTGTGGGGATTGTTTCATTTAGAACTGTGCAAAAGAAAATGGAGCAACAGAGAGACAGATTGAGAGTTTGAAAAAAGTCTAGACATGTGCTGTCTGTTGTAAGTGAAAAGGGAAGTCAGTTGGAAAGGCAGTAGGATAAGAAGGAGTTAGTAATGTTGAGAATGGAGAAGAGTTCATGGCAGGCCACTGATGATCTTTTCATTGTGATTTCAGTAGCATCGATGGGCAGAAAACTTTAAAAGGGAGAAAGGTGGTTATTGAGAAAACAGAGGGAAAGAATACAAACTAATCTAATTGGGTGGTGACAGGAAGTGTAGAGAAGAGAAAGTAGTTAAAGAGAGCAACGCCTCATGGGCCAACAGGAAGCAGAGAGTGCAAAAGAAGAGTGTAAAGATGCTGCCGAAGTGTAGTACAAAGAAAACCCAGGATTTGTTTCTGCGAAGGTCAGGCCCTACTGATTTATGGTGATAAATTTTTTTTGACAGTATTATTTATTTTTACATTTCTTAATATCCAATGGTGTCACTTTGGCAACTTACTAAAATTGTATTTATCTTTTCAAGATATAAATCTATAATTATAGGCAAATACTGATACTTTGCCAAAGATAAAAGGTTTTTGTTCACTTCTGTTGCCTAAATAATGTGATCTAAAGTAGAAATTTAATATTCTTCCTTTGGTTTTAATTTCATTCTCTAAGATAACTGGCTGGCTGCCAGTATTCAGATTAAATTTTGTTAGCTCTGTGATCAGTATGTTCCAGTTCTAACCTGCTGCATGTTAGCTTTTACCTAGAAGCAAGAGAATAAATGAGATCTTGATTTATGTCCAACTTACACATGCAAACAAAAGCTCATCTGATTTTTGTTTAAACTTCTCATCTGTGGTTAGGTATATGTAATTAAGAAAGAATGAGAATGGAGAAAATAGGCAGATTATGGGGGAGGGAAGGTCAGTGAGACTCATGGGAGGATAGCAAATCAGTCAGATATTTAGAGAGACGAGTAAAGGTAAGAATGCAAGAACAGAGAAAAGCTACAGAAGAAGAAGAGCAATAGAGGGTTGAGGAATTATGATAAGAAATAAGGAAAATCACATGGGAGGAAATGAATAGAGAAGATGGGACACGATTCATTTTGTCTGCCCTCAGATAGTTCGGCCACTGTCTGTATTCATGCTTTGATTTGGCCTACACAGAGAAAGGCTGAAATTGCTGGAAAACACCCAGAGTTTCACTGCCTTTCCCCTTCCCTGTACATAGGAGGCTTCATTATGTGCAATTGTGTTTAATTTGTATGTTACTTTAGCATTTTATAAATGTTTTCATGTTAATTTTCTTATTTGGCTATTATAGTAATCTGTCTGGAATATAGAGATATTGTGATCTCTATATAAAGGGAAGAAAGAAAATGATAAATGAAGTATTTTGACCAAGTTCATAGAGAAAATTCATGCCTATGTTGGAGTCAGAGTATTCTGACACCAGCTGTGTGATTTTGAGTAAAATCTCTGAGCCTCAATGTCTGTATCAGTGAAATTGAGATAATGATACTTAGTAGGATTATTGTGATGATCAGAATTCTTAGCACTACTAAGTAGCATAGTTTTAAACAATTTTTAATATTTCATGTTTACCCTTCAAAAATGTAAGAAAAGTCTATGTCATTACCTTTGTATTTTCTTTGATATGTCCCTTTGTAGAATTGTTTTTATAAACTATGTACAGACTTTAATAACTGATACTTTATAGTTTTGATGAAAATTATGATGTTAGACTGCAACAGCATTCAGCTTTAAAATGTCCACTATTGATATCCACCCTTTTGATGATAATCAGGCTACAGATTGGTTCACATATGTCTGTCATTTAATCTGTCTTTCATATAGGTGGCTCTATGTTATACAGTCTCCTCCTGAAGCTTACCTGTGATGTTTGAAGTGATTAGATGTGTAATGAATAATTTCAATTCATGTTTCTAATATCTTGGTGTGTTAGAGGTCCTCAAGACCACTCCCAGGTTCAATAATTTGGTAGGGGGACTCATAAGACTCAGTTTATATTGTATCATGGCTACGATTTATTACAGTAAAGGATGCAAAGCAAAATCAGCCAAAGAAGTCTCATGGGCAAACCATAGAAAACCAGGAGCAGTTTCCAAGAGTTCCCTCCCAGTGAAGTCACAGAGGACATGCTTAATTCCTTCAGCCACAAGTTATAACATGTGTGAAGTATTGTCTACCAAGATGCAGCTCATCAGAGACGCAGTGCCAGGATTTTACTGGAGACTGATCTCATAGGCACCCTCTGCCTAACATGTGCCAAGAGTTGAGATTCCCAGAAGGAAAGCAGATATTCAGCATAAACCACATTGTTTGCACAGTTTAGACACAGTAAGCCCCTCTTATGAGTTCTGAAATCCAGTCTCTCAGATGCCGGCTATAGGCGACATTGCAACAGGCCTTTCTAAGAGCAGCAGTCTTGGGTTTGCTTTATTAACTCTTTTCTGTACACTTGGCATTTGTAATAATGTAATTCAACAAATGTTAACTGAATGCCTGTTATTTGCAAAGCAATATGTTAGGCACGAGGCAGATGGACACCATCTTGATATATACCATATCCTTAGGAAGCTTGAGTCAGATAAGTGGGGTAGCTGGGAAAAATAATACACTTTCATTAATAACTGACATTCAAGGTAAATACTCTAAGAGAGTATATTAGTTTACTTATAGTTTTTGTGACAAATTACCACAAACTTAGTGGCTTAAAACAACAGAAATTTATTCTCTTACAGTTCTGAAGGCCACAAGTCCAAAGTCAGTATTATTGGGCCCAAATCAAGATATCAGCAGGGCACATTCTCTCCAGAGGTTACTGGAAGAATCCATTCCTTGCCTCTTCTGTCTCTTGGTGGCTGCCAGGATTCCTTGCCTTGTTGTTGCCTCATCACTCCAGTCTTTGCCAGTGTGGTCACATTGCCTTCTCTTCTGTCTGTGAAGTCTCCTCTGCCTCTCTGTTATAAGGATGCTTGTGATTGCAGTTAGAGCTCATCCACATAAAACACGATAATCTCTCCATGTCAAGATCCTTAAATTAATCACATATGCAAGACTCTTTTTCCATATATGGTAACACAGACTCCTAGATTAGGAACTGATATTTCTGGGGTCATTATTCAACAAATACAAAGAGTAACTTAAAAAAAAGTGCTATGGAGTATAAAATGTAAAGATCACATACAAAAGGAAGAATCAGAAAAATTTCACAGCAATAAGTGATGTGGACTATTTATACATAAAGCTTTTTGTTTTGGGATGCCTAAGTGTTTAACAATAGGGGATTGCTTTAAAAAATGATGATAAATCCAGATGATGACATTCTGTGAAGCTAATAAAAATTATAGAAAAACATTAGATATTGTTAAGAGATCAAAATCCATGTAGAATTGTAACTTCATAAAAATACATATGTGGGTACATCTATGTCCATAGGAAAATATTGGAAGGATGCATTTTTAAAGTGTTCGTTCCAGGAAGTAAAATTATTTTTAAATTATTTTTCTTCTTTGGAATACGGCCTATATTCTTCATATTTGAGTTACCAATATTTGTTTATTTTATATTTAGAAAAATAACCTAGTCTACTTTTAGAGCAGGTTTGTTAAAGAAAACAGCATTTGAGATAGTTTTTTTAATAGGTAAACTTTTGATGAATAAAGATAGGGGAAGGAGTCAAGGTATATAAAGGCAGCTAAGTACATGTTGACACATAATCTTGAAATGTCATCTGAGTCCAACCACTCTATAAAATCTGGCTGGTTTATCTAATCTTAATAATATATTTATTTGTATAAGTGATTTATGATATAAGACATCAGACATAATTTTTTATTGCAATTGTGTGAATGTTCCTAATATTAGACAATTTTTATAAGGTCATACCAGTTTGAATAATCTTATTACATACATACTTACATGCATTTGTACAATTTAATTTTTACCAGTTGATGAATTTTTTTTTTTTTTATCTTTTCTTTCAATTACAGTGACTTGCAAGGAGTAAGAACAAATGCCAAAAGGGATGGAAGTGACTGGATTCTGAATGGAAGCAAGGTGTGTAAACAGGGAATTCCATAGCCCTTCTCTCCAGAGTCGTGCCGTGGATAACAACATCTCAAATACTACTCAATATTGATTATATTAAATCTAAGAATTCACACAGAAATTGAGTTTAGTTGTTTTGGAGACAGAAATTTACAAGATTTATATTGCATAAGATCTGTGGTAGTCTCTTCTCTGTTCCATTTTGCATGTCCCCTCACTAAGATGGCAAAGGTTGTTTTAGCTTCCAAACAGCCCTTATCAAACCAGAAAAGGGGAATGGAAGGCTCACATTGCCCAAATATGAGCAATTGGGCAATGTAATGAGAGAAACCAACTCCATTTTATACCCCAACTATTTCAAATGGAGAGAGATAAAAACAGATCATTTGACTGCAGTTTGATAAATGGTAAGATCATGATGAATTCAGGGTGCTGTGGGAGTGTTTGCCTGGGCAATTTGGGAAGACTCTTTGGACAATGTGGCATCTGAATTTAGTCCACAAGGATGAGTAAGATGCATCATAGGCAAGTTGAGAAAGGGCCTCCCAAGTAGAAGAAACAAGGTTTTCAAAGACCTGTGTGTCAGGAAGATCTTGGAATGTAGAGAATAGCAAGTAATTTAGTAGAGCTGACCTGAGAGCAGGGATTGGGGGAAACATGGGACAAGCAATAAGGCAGGAGAGGTAAGCTAGTGCCAGGTTGCTGTGAGTTTTATTTTTATTTTTTATTTTTCTTTTGGAGCTCACAGCTCATTCAGCATCAGAATTCTGTGAGTTTTATGACCTGCTAAGGGTTTGGAATTTATCCTGAAGCCTATTAGGAGCTATTCAACCTGTATGAAGGTGACAGGATCAGATTGTGTTTTAGAAAGATATCTCTGACATCATGATGGATGATATGGTTGTAGAGATACGAGTTGTAGGAACTTAAACAAGAAATCATGAGGGCCAAAAATAAGGTAATGGCAATTATAAGAGCGCCGAATCCTAGCCACTAGACCACCAGGGAACTTGGTAATGACAATTGAAATGAAAGGAAATGAATAGATCCAAAAAGTATTAAAACGGATTGGAAAGAACTAGATGCAAAATTGAATATGAAGCAGAATGATGGCATGATTTATTGAAACATTCACTGAGATAAGGAAATAGTTTGATATTCAGGATTGGATAAGAATAGGAGTGGGAAGGAATGTGTTCTGCCTGTAAGTTATCAGGTGGAACTGTCCAGAAGAAGGTAGGTATACACATCTAGATCCTAGCAAGAAATGTGGCTTAAAGACTTGTAGTAATCAGCATGTAGAGGGCAACTAAAGCCATGAAAGTAGTTCAGATGACACAGAAAAGATGCAGAATGAAAAGTTAATTATTAATATTTTCTCTGGGTATATTTCATTTTCTGAATCAGTATTATCTGATAATTTATCTTATGTAGTTTGTTATTTCTTTCTTCCTTAATCGTAGTCTGTTATTTAGGCCATTTTGAAAAAACGAGGCCATGAATTATAAAAAACAAAACTAGGCCTTTTCAAAAACTGAAAAATCAGTACAAATACTTTAATAATAGTGTCATTTAGAGCAGATTCTCTTTTCTTATTGTATCTTCTTTCTAAAATAGAATTTATCATTTTAAAAGATGATTTGGTTTTATTTTTTTTAAATCTCTATTAATTATTATTATTATTATTTATAGTATTAGTAGTGAGAAGAAAATGTATAGGGTTCATTCTTTGAAGCATTGGGTAATTTTTCCCAGATCCTTGATAACTTCATGTGTAAATAATCAACCCTGCAAATACTCGGATAGGGTAATGAGAGAGGTATAAAGCATACCTTGTCTGTTTTAGTATTCTTGAGTATGCCTCCCCTAATCATAACTTGCCCATGGATCTGAATTACTGTGGTGCATTACAGTGTACTTGGGGTTTTGCAGGTGTTCATCACTAATGGGTGGCTAAGTGATGTTGTGATTGTAGTAGCAGTCACAAATCGTGAAGCTCGCTCTCCGGCCCATGGCATCAGCCTTTTTCTGGTGGAAAATGGAATGAAAGGATTTATCAAGGGACGAAAGCTACATAAAATGGGATTAAAAGCCCAGGTAAGTAATAATATAGATCATATTTGGGTAATAATTGAGTTTACTATTAATCATCTAGAAGATTTATGTAAAGAATTACATGTGGCACAATTATACCTTCCTATGCTGAATTGCTAAAATATGCTTTTCAGAAATAGTAATGGAGATTTATTCCCATTTATGCCACTGTATCTCTCTCTGGTGGTCAGCAATGGAAATAAGTCAGGATATTTTGAGTATCTGCTTTAGAAATGGCAAAATTAATGGTAATAAACCATCTATTTATAAAATTTATTGAAGAAAATTGTGAAGAACAGAAAATGTTTATTCTATACATTACCAAAAACATATGTTTTACTTTATATGTATTAGAAATCTTTAGTACCTAGTACCTAGAGAATTGGACAATATTATACACAGAATGACAGTATATTGCAGTGAGAAAGCTACAACTTTTAGAATCAGATGAACCTGGATTTGAAATCTTGTTTACCATTTACTAGCCTTCCAATTAACCACTCCAATTTGGCTTCCAATTTGTTGGTTTTTTGGTTTTTTTCTTAAATTGAAATTACAGTCACCTCATTGGGTTATTGTGAGATTTTTATTATTTTTTTTTATTTGGTTGTTTTCCTTTTTTAAATTTCAGAATATTATGGGGGTACAAACATTTTGGTTACATATGTTGCTTTGCATCGCCCATACCAGAGCTACAAGCATGCCCATTCCCTAGATTGTGCACTTTGCACCCATTAGTTATAAATTTACTCATCCCCTCCTCCCCCTCCCATTGGCCAACATCTGACCAATGTTACTATCATATGTGCACATACATGTTGATCCTTAATACCAATTTGATGGTGAGTACATGTGGGGATTGTTTTTCCAATCTTGTGGTAATTCATTTAGTAGAATGGGCTCCAGCTCTATCCAGGATAATACAAGAGGTGCTAGATCGCTATTGTTTTTTGTGGCTGAGTAGAACTATATGGTACACATATACCACATTTTATTAATCCACTCATGTATTGATGGGCACTCTAGTTGTTTCCACATCTTTGCAATTGTGAATTGTGCTGCCATAAACATTCAAATGCAGATGTCTTTATTACAAAATGACTTTTTTTCTTTTGAGTAGATGCCTAGTAGTGAGATCGCTGGATGGTATTTCTATTTTCAGTTCTTTGAGATATCTCCATATTACTTTCCATAGAGGTTGTACTAATTTGCAGTTCCACCAGCAGTGTAAGAGTGTTCCTGTCTCTCTGCATCCACACCAGCATTTGTCGTTTTGGGACTTTTTGATAAAAGTCATTCTCACTAGAGTTAAGTGATATCTCATTTGATTTACATTTCCCTGATGATTAGAGATGTTGAGCACTTTTTTTATGTGTTTGCTGGCCATTATTCTGTCTTCTTTTACAAAGTTTCTGTTCATTTCCTTTGCCCACTTTTTAATGGGGTTATCTGATTTTCTTCTTGTTGACTTTCTTAAGTTCTATATAAATTCTTATTATCAGCCATTTATCAGATATGTAGCATACACATATTTTCTCCCATTCTGTAGGTTGTCTGTTTGCTCTAATGATTGTTTCCTTGGCTATGGAGAAACTTTTTAATTTGATCAGGTCTCATTTGTTTATTTTTATTGCTGTTGTGATTGCTTTAGGGATCTTCTTCATAAATTCTTTGCCTAGGCTGATGTCTATGAGAGTTTTCCCAACATTTTCTTCTAGAATTCTTATGGTTTCATGTCTTAGGTTTAAGTCTGTTATCCATAGTGAGTTGATTTTTTGTAAGAAGTGAAAGGTGTGGATCCATTTTCAGTCTTGTGCATGTGGCTATACAATTTTCCCAGCACCATTTATTGAATAGTGATTCTTTTCCCCAGTGTATATTTTTGTCTGTCTTGTCAAAGATTAGATGACGATATGAAGATGGTTTTATATCTGGGTTTTAAGCCCTGTTCCAAAGGTCTATATCTCTGTTCTTTTGCCAGTACTATGCTGTTTGGGTTGCTATAATCTAGTAGTATAGCTTGAAGTCTGGTAGACTGATGCCTCTCAATTTGTTCCTTTTGCTTACGATTGCTTTGGGTATACCACATCTTCTCTGGTTCCATACAAAACATAGAATTATTTTTTTCTAGATCTGTGAAAAATGATGTTGGTATTTTGATAGGGATTGCATTGATTCTGTAGATCACTTTGGGTAGTATAGACATTTTAACAATATTTATTCTGCTGATTCATTAGCATGGTAGAGTTTTCCATCTGTTTACATCCTCTATAATTTCTTTTCTCAGTGTTTTGTAGTTCTCCCTATATAGTTCTCTCATCTCCTTAGCTAAATATATTCCTAAATATTTAATTTTCTTTGATGCTATTGTGAAGGATGTTGCATCTTTGATTTGATTTTTCAGCTTGACTGTTATTGGTCTATATGAAACCCACTGATTTGCATGCATTGATTTTGTATCCTGAGACTTTGCTAAATTCATTTATCAAGTCCAGGAGTCTCTTGGTTGAATCCTTGGAGTTTTCTAGATATAATATCATATCATCAGCAAAAAGTAAAAATTTGACATCTTCTGCCCCAATTTGGATACACTTGATTTGGGATATTGGAAAATTTAAATAAGGTAATTCTCTGTTTCATTGGTCTCTTAGGATACTGCAGAACTATTCTTTGAAGATGTACGGTTGCCAGCTAGTGCCCTACTTGGAGAAGAGAATAAAGGCTTCTATTATCTCATGCAAGAGCTTCCACAGGTCAGAATTGTTTAAAGATTCCATCTGTTGATTATATATTCCATCTGTTGATAATGAACTGAAATAGAATAATATAGAACTATATAAATATATGCACACAAAATTTGTGAAATAGCCAATCATTTGAGTATTAAAGTTATAATAAAAGTATGAGTTTTATAGGCTAGATAAGTAAATAACTGAACTCAGGGATATTTAATCAAAGCTTATAAAGTGAGTAGGAACAATAGGTATTTCAGTTCCTTGATTCTTTCTTAGAATGATTTTAGCTTCTTAACTGCAAATCAAGAACTTTTAGCTCTTTGTAAGGAAATGTCACCAAAACATTTGACAGTTTTTAAATACCAACTGTGAATCAAAAAGAAAAGGTGTTAAGTTCAGACTCAAAAGTTTTAGCTACATAGGATCAGTCCCCAAGCAGTTTTTGCAATGTGGTTGCCAAGGGGTCATTGAGCCTTGGATGCCAGTGTAAGTGAGTACACCTGCCTGGTGGCTGCTTTGCCATGGGCTAAACATGGACTTGGGAACAAGGGCTAGGAACACTGACACTTAAATAGAATATGAAAATCATCAGCATGATGGAATTAAACTGACTGAGGCTACTTTTACACTAATAGATAGAATTTAACCTGTGTATCTTAAAAATGTTAATTTCTGCAGATACATTAAGTTACATTGGTACATAGAGATAAATTTAAAAACTGTGAAATTTCTTTACTCATATACGAATAAAGAGAAGAGGGGATTAAATAAATTACATACATATAATAAAGACATGCATTCATAAAAATAAAGGATTTACTTTACACAGTTATCCTTACAGATATGTCAAAATAATCTCATACACCCCTGTCGGAGCCTTTTCTTATAAAGAATTGAGAAATAAATTAATCTTTAAGAGTTTATTATAAAGATTATTTATGTGATTTTTTCTAAATGAAATTGAGTGAAAATCACTTGTATAATTAGAATAATGTTTAAGACCCAATTTTTATATTGTAGGAAAGGCTGTTAATTGCTGAGTTGGCAGTTTCAGCCTCTGAATTCATGTTTGAAGAAACCAGGAACTATGTTAAACAAAGAAAAGCTTTTGGGAAGACAGTTGCCCACATACAGGTAAGCTTGTCATATGGTTTAATATTAGATGATATCAGTTTACTCATCTGAAGTGGGTCTAATGTAAACAAATTTGGGGTAGTTTTCATATAAGGTGAAAATCACGAAAGGAGGGAAAGTAGAGAGTAAGACAAGAAGAGGGCCTAGGACAGAGTCCTTGAAAAATACTACAAGATTTAAAGGTGAAATACAAAAGGCAGAGATTACAAAGAAGAGTGGGAATGAATAGTTAGAAAGGAGAAAGCAAATCAGGAGAGTGTTGTCACAGAAGCCAAGGAGGAAAGGGGCTTGCATGTAGGAGGGAGTGGGTCCAAATACTGCTTCAAGGAAAAATAGGATGAAGGGTGCTCTTTGGCAAGATTATTTGGCAAGAGTCATTAATGGTGGTAGAGTTGGGGGGGGGTGACAGGTGAGAGTAGAGGAATAGATGTGAAAGTAAAGATTCTGATGACAGGCAACTCTTTGCTGAGTTTGGCTGTGAATGGTAGTTGAGAGGAAGGATAGCAATGGAAGAGGGGAGAGGGTGGGGAAGGATTTGGGAGTCAAGAGAGATACTTGGGGGTTATTAACTTTTTTTTTTATTATTGTTAGGATGGGAATACAAGAGAATATTTTGATACCTAGAGAAAGGATTTAGTAAAGAGGGAAAGATTGTAGATGTGGAGGGGATAATCAGCTGCACAGGGTCTTTGAGAAAGGGTAAGGTTGTGGGTACTGACACATGTGAAAAGATAGACTTTCCCATCTCCGTAGGAGAGATGTTCCTCCATTGTAACAGGAAGAAAAGAAGAAAGGAAGGGTGTGGTGGTTCAGTTAAATGCATAGCTCTGTTGGTAGAAAACTACAAAAGTTCTTTTCAGAAGACTTCTATTTCCTTAAAGAACAATAGAAAAAGTTAGTTCTTGAAGGAAAAGTGAGTGAAGGGGGCATGGAGGTGTCCAAGGAGAGCGAGGAAAGTCTGAAACCCTCTTCAGAGTAAGAATGAACTAACTAGAGAAACACAGTTAGCTTGCTGGCAGTGTTGAGGACCCAGATGAGGTTAGTGATCATGAATGTAGAGTAGTACCCCCTTTTTTGCATATCAGCTTTACTATCAGGGTTTAGCTGCTCATGTATAAACACAGAAGGTAGATGATTATGTTTATGTTTAAGGTTGGGTTTTGCCAGGAAGTTTAAAGTATTTGCAAAAGAACTCAGTATATGGTATCCACAATCACCCAACATGTCAATTATTAATAAATTTTAGACCCTCTAGCTTCTTCTTAAATGAAGGAATGGTTTATAAGCAGTGCATTCATCAAATTGGTGAAATATCTCACCAGCAAAATATCCTGGAGTTGGAATACTACTTAAAAAGTTTTACATAGAATGACTTTGGCTGAAGGGGTTTGTGAAGGGAAAGGTAGAAATGATACACCTTGGAAGCTTTTCAGGACCAGCATTATGGAAATTCTGTTCAAGTATGGCTTAAGTCCTAGCACAGCTACTTGAATCTCTGTAGTCTAGGCAAGTTGTGTTCTCTCTCAGAAATGTTCTTCTATTTGTAAATGTATGAAACGTATTTGATTTGTAAAATTGTAAAATCTTACCATTATGAATCTTAAGATTTGTAAAATTTATTTACAAATAGAAATATTTTCCTACTTGTGACTACTATCAGCGGCTACCTCATAGGGTTGCTGCAATAATTAGATGGGATAATGTACAAAAAGTGCTTGGAATATTGCCTAGCAAAGTAAGCCGTCATTAAATTTAGCTTTATTATTATCTTTCCCTTATGTAATGTCTTGTTTTATTTTCTTCCAATATAAGGGAACTTGTAATCAATTTTTTCCTCTTGTTCCTGATATGGTCCATCTCTATGTCATTTTTGGAACTATTTGCTTAATATATGGTCATCAAATTGACTTTTCTCCATCCTGAAAAAAAGTCTTTACATCCTAACTTTCTTATTGACATAACAGACCTAAAACAGTTGTTCTGAATCTCTAAAAATGAAGCACACAATCAAGAAAACAGTTTTAAAAACAGTGTGATTTGACTTGCCTAATGTTATTTCCTTAAGAGCAAGGATGTTATACTTTCTATTTCTTTTAATTTATGGATCACTGATTTACACATATCAGTGGTCCTCTATAACTGACTTTTCCCTCAAACATTTAGAAATGTTGGGGATGGTGGGTGCACAGTGATTGGTGGCATAACTTGTATAGTGCCCTGGAGGACAGTGTTGTTAAATGTCCTGTAATTCAGAGATAGCTTTTTACTACAACTAATTGTTTCACTCAAAATACCAATAATCTCCCATCGAGAAATACTGACATACGTGATGTATTCCTTTTTGTTTCACTGAGCAAGTGTATATTAACCAATATATACTTATAAGGGTTGTAAGGGTTACGTACTCAAATGTAACTTGATAGGTATGACTCTGGAAATACACATGATAGGCTCCTTACAAAATGAAGGAAGTGATACAACTTTCTCAACTATGGCCAAAGTGGAATCAGTAGCATTTGCTTCTGAAATCTAACCACCACCACTTTCACATCAAAAATGTTTGTTAGAACACTCAGGCCTTTATTCTTATTCTGGATACTATAACAATTGAACCAAACATACATATTTTCTATCCATTTGGAAATCTACATTTCCTGTGTTTATGGACTTCTTATTAGATTACAGGAAAGATAAATATACTACTACTCAGATTGCCTGAATAGCTCAGAAAACACGTGATTATACATTTAACCATGAAGGAAATGGGAAATTGGTCTATACTGTTTTCCCATAGGGGAAATATTCTCTTAAAATATTAATTTATTCTATTTTGATAGCAAAAAGAAAAGAAATAGTTTTAATCCTTCCTTCTCAATGCAAGTGTCATTTTATTGTTGCCTCCTTGCAAAGGTAGTTCACTGAAATTTCAGTAGGTGGCAGTAGCATTCCGCTTCCACAGGTACATTGTTGCTAGCTAGTATTATTGTTTTCCAAATATATATATATGTTCTGAGATTTCTGAGATATTTACAAAATTCTGAGATTTCTGAGATATATACAAATATATATATATGTTCTGAGATTTCTGAGATATTTCTTTTAATCTTCCTGTTTTATCTAAATCAATATCCTTGAATAATATTTCATATTTCAAGCTAGGAATATATTCAGAGAAGATGAATGACCGTTCACACCTACACCTCCTTTATTCAGTTGAAACAGAAGATTTTTAAATGTTACGTCATACTTGGCCAAATGTCATTTTATGAGCGTATCACTATTCAGCTTCCTTTTTCTTTGTTATCCTTACATGTTGGGCCTTTCTAACCATTTAGATACATGTCACAAAATTTAGTTTCCTGTTTATTATAGAGACCTACCATACTGAGGTAGCAATAGTTATGGGATTTTGAAAAAATCTATAGTCTCCAAACTTGATATCAAGTCTCATGGTTTTCCATAGAATAGATAAAACCATAAAATTCAGATGGTAAATAATAACGGCTGTCATTTTTTGACTACTCCTTATGTGCCAGACACTGTGTTAAATGAATTATTTCATTTTCCCACACACACAACTTTATGTAAGTATTTTAATTATCCTCATTTTACAGGTAAGAAAGTTAAGGCATAGAGAGGTTAAGTGCCCCAAGTTACACAGATAGAATTCTAACTCCAGAACCTACACTTTTAATCCATACACTATTTTTACTGCCCAGAAGTTAAGAGTAGATGAGCCTTTTTTCTTTTCTTATTTCCTTCACCCAGTGGGCAATGAAGTGAAAATGGAATGTTCTTTTCTAATGAGAGCTCTTGGTTAGTCATTTCCTATGTGGTATGTGTTCTTGCTTCTCAGGGCACAAAGTATTAGAGACAGGAATAAGAGACAACAAAAAAAATAGCACTTCTTCCTTCCATGCATCCAAAACAGGAATATCCAGTTCTTAAGACCTCAAGCGTGGGGTTAATTAGCTGTAAAATTAGGTAGCAAACTTAATTTGTTTTATTTTATATTTAAGTAATAGTATATGATAACATAGCTAAAGTTGTTGTTTAAATGAATACTGGGCTAGATAACCTCTCCAAGGTGTCTTCCAATTCCATAATTCTGTGGTTCTAAGAATTTTGTCATTCAGAATTCTGAAAGAGACTCTATCCAGTCCACTTAGTAACTTCAGAAGAATGTTTTAAAGATGCAATCTGCAGGATTATCTATTAGTGAATATTAATGACTTAGAAACAGTGCTATGAACATATGGATCACTCACAAAATGTGTGGTACAATTATTAGCTGCCATTCATGAAGGAATGATTTCAGAAAGCATGATGTAGTGTCTGCAGTGAAGAGCAAAGACCAAATCTATTTAGTAATAACCAGCTCAACACCAAGGATACATAAATATTTAATCTCTTTATCCCCAGAGAGTAAATTATATACTCTTGGAGACATTTTCTTTCAGACCTTTGGACCTCGCTGAATGCACTGAAGCAAGAATAATGATTCTATCCTTCTCTGAAATTTAACTTAGCTTCTAAAAGCTCCCAGCATTCACCTAGAATAACACTTGTGTGAGAGAATCAGGCTTAGAGATCTTAATTCTCTCATACTGTACATAGTGCATAAATTCTCAAGTATGATTATCATGTCAGGTCAAAATTATCTTGAGACTTATTAGATCCCCCTTGTTTTCCAGATGAAGTATGATAAATAGTGTCATTGGACTAAGCCAGGAGTAGGCTTAGAATTCAGTTTCAGGGATTTTCATGGAATATATACTCATCTATTTTCAATATATGAAAGATTATTTTCCTACTTTTTTCACTTCTTGTGAACTTGAATGTGCAGGGTGGGAATGGGAAAGTTTGTGCTGAATAAAGGGTAGAAGTTTGACCTAATTAAATATATAATAGAAATGGAGATAGAAAAAGTAAAAGAAAGAATGAGAGGGGAAGAAAGTTTTGATGTAATCCAGCTTGTTCAGAATTAGAGGCCAGGATACAGAGATGGAAGGAGTTTGGTGCCTTCCTAATGCTTGGTTTGAGAATAATTAGATGCTAGTTACATTCTCTGTTTCTAGAACAGGGAGACAGTCAGTTTGGTGTTTTGTCAGCATGGTAATTATATTGATATCCTGTGAGGAATCTGCCCCTCAGAACTCCTACTCCACCTAACACATCCTGGTCTTGCCTGGTTCTGGGTCTTATTACACTCCATTGTATTCTTTTCCAGAAATGCTAAGTAACAAAACTGTCCCAACTGCCAGTGACACTGAAGGATTCAGTTTTGTGGTTTGAGAATTGTAATAGCCAACAATAAAAGTAGGCCCAGCAACCTCTGAGGATCTAGCCCTGCAATCCACTTTTGAGAACTCAACTGTGGCTTTGGACTTAGTGCATAAGTGAGATGCACTTAATTTATAGTTTGAGTTTCACTGCACCACCTTTGTCTTTAATGTCCATATTTATGACTTATATTAGCCACAGTGAAGGAGTGAAGGTCTCATTCATAAATTCTGCAGTAGAATAATCAGAACTCTGTTTCCATGTGAATTTTCACAAAGATAGAGCCAGTTGACCATATCCAGGCCTTGGACCTAAGCAATCTGCTAGAATGGGGTGTACTTTTGGAAGCTACCCAAAGTAGGAAGCCAGTATTTCAAGTCCAAGCCAATTTCCTGAAGGAGGTTAAATAGTCAGTGCCAAAGAGAAGAGATGTAAACTCAAAGTTCAGGGTGTGCAAGCCAAGAGTTAGGAATGAAATAGAACTTGATTGAAGTGAGAGCAGTCAGGAATTATTGAGGAAGGTCTAAATGGATGATTTCCAAAAATACTATTAGTTGTCCATAGCCCGCAGGAGGAGGCAAGTATATAGGTATATTAACCTTGACAATTCCAGACCATTCAGTTTGAGTTAGAGTCTGTGCTAGACAAGCTATTGGGGCCGGGGGAGAATGGGGAGGGGTGCAAGAGGTTGTAGGGTACTCGACTTTGATCTCTTGAGTGCTCTGATTCTATTATTCTCCAATTGCATTCTACACATCTAGATTAAATACTTTACAACATAAAATAATAATGTCTAATAAATATGTATGTGTTTATGAACATATAGAACCCTCTTGTCTCTCCAACTGTTAGAAGCAGAATAGGGAAATATATGTACTTAATTTCAATTTCATTAATAGAGAAAAAAACTTCCAGGATTTAGTCTCTGGAAGAAAATAGGTGTTTTCAACAGCTGTACCTAAAAATCTGTACCACCAGATGGTGCTCACATATTAAAATCATGCTGTTTTTCAAGTAGTTTCCCTTAATTCTCTAGATTTTAAAATATAAAACGAGATATTATTTATGTATCTATTTTTGCACCTTTTATTATAGTACAATTTTCCTTAACATTGAAATATAGTGAGTTTCAAATTTAAGCTGATTTGGGAATATATGCTCTTTTTATGGAGGAAAAACCCAGTAATTTCACTTTTGTTTTGCTCTAAAGATCTTTTATTATATAACTTTTGATATGCTAGGTGAGTCGGAATTTGTACTTCTATCATGCTCATTTTTTTCTTTTATTTCCTTTAAACCCAAGACGGTACAGCATAAACTAGCGGAATTGAAAACACACATATGCGTAACCAGAGCTTTTGTGGACAGCTGTCTCCAGCTGCATACAACGAAACGTCTGGACTCTCCCACTGCTTCCATGGCAAAATATTGGTATGCGTGCTGCAGTAATTAAAATGTGGGTGTTTGCTCAAACTGTTATGAAATGCTGCCAATTCTACCTTCAGCCTTGAGGGTCTTAAAGGAAGAGGCTGTGTAAATGAAAAATAAAAGTAAGACTCAACTTAAAAAAAAATGCTGAGAAGTCCCATTAAGCCTATTTATAATGTGCTAAAAATTATTCAATTGGTATTTAATTCTTAACTTGCTATTAAAAATCAAATATTAAGATTAGGATAATTAAAAGTAATTAAGTAGTATGGCTGATTAGTTTATTCAAGTAATGATTTAATTTTAAACTGTCCAAAAAGTGGTAGCATAATGAGGTTGGAAGAAAACAGTAGTAAAACTTAGGAGTCTTGAGATAGAGTCCCAATTCTTTCATTAAATAGCTATAATTAAGCTTAATTCTCTCTGGGAAAACTTTTTGTTATCTGTGAAATGACTAGGTTGTACAGGATTTTTCTATTTAAGGTGTTTTCCAGATCTAAGAAAAAATTCTTGAAGAATTTACTGTCCCATGAAAAGCTGCACATGCTCTATTATGTGAAAGTAAAAGAAATGTTCTATTATGTTTAGAAAAAGTTTCATTTGAATTAAAGATAATTAGCAATGGTATTAAAGATGAGTTAATTGAAAAAAGACCCCTATAAGACCCCTTTTGTATATTTTAAGACTTGAAAACATACAGTCTAAATCAGATTCTGGAAGTGGATTTGGTTTCTTCTTTTTAAAACAAACATTCTCACATCTCATTAGCCCAAAACTAACCTAGAAAAAATTCCTGTCATTATTCATTAACTTGTGTTCAGTTCCTTTTGTAAGTAGAAGAGGGGAAATATTTGGTGCTTTATGTAATGATTACCATAATAATAAAATGCCCAGGTTGAAAAGTAATGTTGAATTATTGAGAACTTGTACTTTTGGGGGAGAATTTTTATATTTACATTTATGAGTTCTTTCGACTATGGTGAAAAAGTATAGAAAAATTTTAGGTATTTTCAGAAAAAAAAGGAGTTTGGATAGCTATTGACCTCATTGTTCTTTGAAAACATAAGGTTTATAGACATACTTGTATGTTTCATTGAAGCAGAGGAAGCAGCTAGGTATAACCCAGTAAATATTTCATTAAATACTTGCCAAATACAAAAAACAAAACAAAGCAAAAAAACCCCATCAAATTCCAAATATTATTGCCCCCAGAGTCTTGTCTGATAATATCAATTATTATATTGTTAATATATTTCTTAGGAACATCCTTACCTGTCCTATGGTTTGAATTAAAAATTATTTTAAATAGAAAAATGTGTCTATGTTACCTTTGCTTTATGTTTCCTACAACTGAAAAATAAGCAGAATAGAATTTTGAACTAACTTATATTTTTATGTTAAGGTGAATAAAGTCCAGACCAGTTAGAATTGTAATACAATCAGAAAAGAATTTTTCTCAAGTATTTCACATATTTATATACACACATACACATTTCAGAAGTAATTATCCCCAAATATTTTTGTTATAAGTTTCCTATATATGATGGCATGTACTTTAATAGTCTACCCTCTTAGGTTTTACTTTCACCTTCAATTTATTTCTGAAAAGTCAGATCCCTAAAATAAATGTTTTTATGCTGAATTTCAGAACTGTGATCTTCAGGTAGAATGTTACATCATTGGAGAAATGAGACATGTTACAAAGGCAAAAACTAGAGGGCTAAATAATTTGGCTCATCTAGAAAATCCAAATAAAGACCAAATTCAAGTCTTTACTATATCCTTTTCAAGCCTAAAATTGCCAAAACCTAATAGTCTGAGTTTTCTACCTTTTGTTTATAGCCCTACCAGAAACATAGCCAGAAATATAATTGATAAAGAAGATATTCTTTATGTGAAAATATTCAATATGTGAAAATTCTCTTGAAATTATTTCATATGTAATTTTTTTCATCTTCTCTGGTTGGCTAATATGCTATTTTAATTGCTTGTTAAATGTGTACATGTAAATAATCATAAATTTTATAGTTTCCTGATTGTGAAACACCTTATGGAAATCCATTTTAAATGTTCCTTTTCTACTTTTTGTTTTGGTCATGTAGGGCATCTGACTTACAAAACAGCGTAGCTTATGACTGCGTGCAGCTCCATGGAGGTTGGGGATATATGTGGGAGTACCCAATTGCAAAGTGAGTATGGTGGTTCTGTTACACTTTTCTTAACGATGTGAAGAAAAAAGAAAATTTCTTTACTTTATACATCAAATATAGAGGGAAAGAAGGTGTGAAATCTTTCCAGTTTTCAACTGACAACAGAGTCTGTTCAAGCAAAAAGAAGCATCTTTATTGTATTTATTCACCACTAGAATTTTATCATTTTTAAAGGAAGTAAAGAGGCTGGGCACAATGGCTCATGCTTATAATCCTGGTACTTTGGGAGACCAAGGTGGGAGGATAGCTTGAGGCCAAAAGTTCAAGATCAGCCTGAGCAACATAGAAAGACCTTGTCTTAACAAAAAATTTTTAAAAATAGGTAGCTTGAAATATTTTCTCCCATTCTGTGGGTTGCCTCTTTACTTTGTTGATAATTTCCTTTGCTGTGGGAATATGGACATTTTAACAACATTGATTCTTTCAAACCATGAGCATAGAATATCTTCCCGTTTTTTTGTTTCCTCTTCAATTTCGTTCATCAATGTTTTATAGTTTTCATTGTAGAAATCTTTCATTCCTTTAATTAATTTTATTCCTAAGTACATTCTTTATTTGTAGCTCTTATAAATAGGATTACTTTCTTGGTTTCTTTTTCAGATTGTATGTTATTGTCATATAGAAAATGTTACTGATTTTTGTATGTGGATTTTGTATCCTACAAATTTACTGAATTTGTTTATCAGTTCTAATAGTTTTTTGGTGGAATCTTTAGGTTTCTCTAAGTGTAAGATCATATGTCTACAAACAACAATAATTTGACTTCTTCCTTTCCAATTTGAATACCCTTTATTTCTTTCTCTTGTCTGATTGCTCCAGCTAGAACTTCCAGTGCTATGTTGAATAACAGTGGTGAAATCAGGTATCCTTGCCTTGTTCCAGATCTTAGAGGAAAGGCTTTCAATTTTCCCCATTTAGTATGATACTTTCTGTGGGTGTGTCATATATGGCTTTTATTGTAATGAGGTATGTTCCTTCTATACACAAATAGATTTTTTATTTCCTTCAAATTAGAAGAAATTAAGTACACCTCTTTTTATTGTATTACATATAATCTTATCAGTTTGACTCAGTGCTAATTTGTAAATAGTGTCCTCTTCCATATTTCTTCTTTCCCTCTTCCCATAGTCTTTTGCCTCAGTAATCTCTCCATTGCATTTATCCTTATTACCCAAGAAAGTATATGTTTCCTTTTATTTAATAAGCAATATTTTCTGTTTATAAAATTTTCCCAAGGAAATTTTTGATTCATATAGAAAAGTCTTATTTAGTTCTGAATCTGAAAATAAGAATCTTATGGACTTCTAAAAATTTTTTCTAATTTTTATTTTAATATAGAATATCTAAAGGGAAACATTATCAAACCCATATTCGAACTGGCAGCCTTTCAAATTTATCATTTTGGCAAGCATAATTGAAAACAATTGATATGGTTATAGTCCTTAATGAGGAAAATAAACATTTTTAAAAATTGCATTAAGAACAGAAGCTATGTAATGACTCAATGTTTGTATAGTTTAGTTCAGGTTCTAAGACATATTAGATTAAAAGGAGGCCACCAGATGGTTTAAGATTAGAATGTGGAGTAAGCCTTGGTCTCTGTTTCTTCAGAGTCAATTCCTTCAGGTCAGTAGCAAGCAAAAATTGTAGCTTGGTGGCTTATTTGAAATCCCTGGTTTCTGTTTGAGAGACTTATATTCCATTCAAGGAATAATAATCAGTCTTCTTGGCCAGCTTTTTAGTTCAAATATTGTATGACTGTTTAGATTGCCATTTTCTCTCCCCGTATATTACCTAATCCCAATATCTCCTAATATCAAAAAAGCCAGCTAGACACATTAAGAAATATGTGGATGTAATGTGCAGACTTCAATTTGATAGAAAAAATCATTCTTGTTGTTTCTTATATCTCCCAGATTAAGCTACATTATTTGTTTATATTTCTGTTACCAAGTCTTGGTTTTACACATAAAAAAGGTGCTTTTCTTTTTTTGCTTTTTTTTGGTTTTTTTGGTTTTTTTTTGTTTTTTGTTTTTGTCCTTTTTAAATAACTGGTCTTCAACATGTGCATTTATTTCAGTCTTATTACAGGCTTGGGCCTGTGAGAAGTGAGGTTTAACCTTTGCCATTTGAAGATTTCTTTCTCTCGCTGGGAAGGCCAGACTGAGATAGAGAGCTTCATTGCAGTGTGGTTAAACATTTCTGCTGCTGCCCTTCTCGGTTAATTTTAGTTGATGGCTAAATTTAATTAGTAACTTATAAAAGGTCTACTGATCTGTCATTACCTACTCCACTGGAACTTCTTTAATGTGAAAAAAAAAATGCCCAACTCAGTCTAAAAATGTTTAAAAATTTGCAGTTACTGTAGCTGGCTGAAATAGTAGGTAGGTCCTTGAAATGTAGGTGCTGGATTTTGTGGGGAACAACAGAATCTGTTCAGAAAAAAGTACATTTCAAAACATAAATGTCTCTAGCTTTTAAAACTTTCATCAGAAAGTACTGAGATTCTAAATATCCTTTGTAATACAGTAAATCAAATCATTAAATATTTACTGAGTGCCCACATGTTTGCAAGGAACTCTGATGAATATGGAGAAGAATAAGTCCAGAATTGGTCATGTTCTTAGAGACCTGGCACATTTAATTTGTCTTAAACATTAAATTTTTTAAAAATCCATATTTTATACTTGAAAAAAAAAAAGCCTTTGAATTTTGTCTACTAAGAAAGTCCAAAGCTCAATAACTAGCCCTGAATGCTTGGGCCATCAAAAGTGCTGTGATACAATAAAAAAGATACTTGCCAAAGAAGCAGAATACCTCATCCTCATTCCAGTCTGCCAATTATCTGTTAGTGACTATTACCTAGTAAATGTATTAACTTCTCTGAATCTCAGTTTCTTTACCTGCTAAACAATAATAATATTTATTCCCCTGATCTCAGAGCTGAGAGGATAAAATGAGATGAGAAAGGATAAAAACAACTATATAGTGGCATGTTTGCTATCATGGTTATCAAAAGTGAATCCCTGATATTTTTTGTGGGTTTTTTGTGGCAATGGACTCAGCCACTTAGTATTGTAACCCTGTACATCACTGGAATGACTTTTAACTATTTCTAAAAAGCATTCTTTAAATTTCTGTAAATAATATTTTCTAAAGCATTAATTTATACTCTTGGTGATGGTAGAGGTGGCGGGATCTAAGGGAATGCTGGAAAGTATGTAAATTGTTTTCTCTTTTGTTTTCTGGATGTAAGCATTTTTAGATAACATTAAAGAAATAAGAAACTAAGACATTCCATGCATTTCTAAATTATATGTGTTGAATTTTATAAAATTAAATTAGATGAAACATACTTATAAATGTTAATTTGACTTTGTAATCTCTTTAAGCAAATTAAAGCAAAGCTATACTTATTATCAATATCTTAACAGAATATTTACAATTAGACCAATCTAGGATGAATGTCATACTGGAAAATGAGTAATTTATGAAGTATTTGTATTGTTTAGATTTCATTAAATAAATGCTTTAATTAATAGTTACCTGGTGAGACAAAATTTACTATTTCTAATATCTTTTATTTATTCATTCAATCATCTTCTGATTTATCCAGAGCTTATGTGGATGCCCGAGTTCAGCCAATCTATGGTGGTACCAATGAAATAATGAAGGAGCTGATTGCAAGAGAGATCGTCCGTGACAAGTAGACATCTGCCCACATCCTGGAATCCTATTACAGTTAATCTGGTTTTAAATCTACTCAAGATAAAACATAACCTGCAAAGAGGGGAAACGCTAAACATGTTTTTATATACTGTCTCTGTAAAGAAAGAAATCAAATATAAGATTGACACAGTGGAAGGAGAAACCTTTGAATCCAAAGATTCTAAAATTCTCCAATACAAGATTTAATTTTGTATAAAATTAAAAGGGCAAAATTTTTCTGAATCTACATGCCTTAGTGTTTCATGTATCTCTAAAATTCTAAAAAGAATAAATTGCTTAAATCTTTAAAATTGTGGCAGAAATAATTTTATGTTATACTAGAAGAACATTAATAAGATTAACTTTTAAAGGGAAAAATAAATAGAATGTAAAGTCATGTCAGCTACCTTTTGTTCCAAATTCCCTATAAGGTGGTTTTTACCACTCTGCCCCAGCCCCCTGTTTTTAAGCAGCGAAACCCTTTCTTCAAACAAAAGCTTGTGCAGAACATGTGTGTGAAATGCTGCTAAATGAGGGGCTGCTCTGAGTTGAAGCAGGAAACCTTCCTACCCTATTGCATCAAAACCCCTAGGACTCAACTAAGCATTTGCCTAATCCCAACCAGAGGATGTCCTTGGTTCTCTCAACAAATGACAGCTAGGCTTTGACAGATTTCCATTCCAGTTTCATTTATTAGGAGAACACAGAATTATCTGTCATTTTTAATTTCAAGATCCTGATATATTTTGTAACTATAAAGCACATAAAAGTAAAGTAGCTTTTATTTTGCAACAGTGTAATATATTTATTCATTTAACAAATACTTTGGGCCTGGCCAGGTGGCTCACCCCTGTAATCCTAGCACTCTGGGAGGCCAAGGTGGGCAGATCATTTGAGCTCAGGAGATAGAGATCAGCCTGAGCAAGAGTGATACCCCGTCTCTACTATAAATAGAAAGAAATTATTTGGCTACCTAAATATATATAGAAAAAAATAGCCGGGCATGGTGGTGCATGCCTGTAGTCCCAGCTACTTGGGAGGCTGAGGCAGAAGGATTGCTTGAGCCCAGGAGTGTGAAGTTGCTGTGAGCTAGGCTGATGCCCTGGCACTCTAACCCAGGCAACAGAGTGGGACTCTGTCTCAAAAAATAATAATAATAAAATAAAAAATAATAACAAATAATTTGTGTCTTCTGTAAACCAGGCTGTTAAAAATACAATGAAAGCAAACAAAATTGGCAAGGTCACTGCTAATAAATAAGTGAATAAACAAATAAGTAGTAATAAATAAGGTAAGAAGTAAATAAGTAAACAAGATAAGTTCAAATCATAAGTGCAATAAAAGAAATAACGTAAGCATTCAAAATTAGAAAGTGAAGAAATGACATTTGATTTGAGACTTAAAAGTAATTATAAAGAATAAACTGCTAATTTGTAACTATCATTTCAGTACTTGTTTTTCTTTGTATATAGTAGTGAGACAGTGAATAAAGTAGCTTTAAAATGGAAGTAGATATATTCTCATTCAACTTAAAAAACTTAAACATTTTATTTGGTATTGTTGATATTAAACAGTTTTTTAAAAAATACAATCATTACAACTGGACAGAGGAGAGAGAAGGGAAAGTATTTTTATACCATTCTTTCCCAGAATTACACAGCTTTGATTTTCTCTTCTGTGGTTGTCAGCTTAAGTTCTTTCTCATATGCATTAAATAACTATGCAAAGTAAATTCTTACTAGATATTATTGTATTTGCAGCTTTCATCTCCCTTCTACTACTGGGAAGTGACATCCACAACCCCTCTTCTCCCAACACAGTCCCTTTCCCTTCCAACCCAATCTTGAGGGAAGCTAGATTTTAGGAATAAAACATCTGGGGGATAAAAAGTAAATTAGCACAGTAAGAAAATCCTACTATGTAGAGGTGGACAGACATGAATTTAAAAGATGACTCTGCCATTTAGGAGCCACTGAAGGAAACTTGGGCAAGTTGCTTAACTTCTCAGGATTCTTTCTGGTGCAAATGATAAAAGAAACTCAATTCAAACCATCCTAAGCAACAATTTGAATGCATTGACTTAAAAGGATTGTGGACTAGCTCATTACAGTGTGAAGAACTGTAAGAAGTAGGGGTCTCAAGGGCTCGATTCTGGGACTTAGAACTGCCCGCATTTATGCTATACCCATTTATTTGTACTTTCCTTTGCAAAGTGGCCTAGTGAACACTGTAGAAGAAGTTCATTGTGAATCCTGTAAAAATGACCTTGGGCTGCTTCGGGCCTGCATACTTCAGCACAATGTCATTATAAGGTAGAAGAGAAATGCACTTTGATTGACATTCCCATCAGTAATACTTGGACTGGGGGAAGCAGTCCCTGAAGCTCAGTATGGTATTAACCAAAAGAAAAAACAGAAAAGTCTACTGGGCAGACCTAAATCTATCGCTATCTTTTTCTCTCCCTCTCTCCCTTCCTCCTCCCCCTCCCCCCCAAAATGCTGACAGTCCTCTAGAGCTAGAAATAAATTCTAGTAATTTTTATACAGCAGAAAGTGAAACTATTTCTAAGGTAGGATATTATCTTGTGGTGATCTCTGGGATGTTTTCTATCTCTTCTAAACCAGAAGTTTTCTTTATCTTATATCAGCTTCAGTCTTGTTTCATACCCGTATCATGGGCTTAAAGCTGAAAGCAAAAAATTCAGAGTGTGCTTCTTAACCTTTCATTTGGTTTTCATTTCTTAAACAGCTAATCTTTGTGTTTTGCTTGTGTGGCTTTGATTGTTGTCCCCTAGGGAAGGAACTTATCATCTGTATCACATGTAGTGCTGAGTGCTCAAGAAATGATAAATAATAATAATGCTCAAAAGAACAGACTGGACCAACACAGCGAGAAAGCAACACTGTGTAAATATTAATGAGAATTTAACAGCCTGAGCAATTTTGGTTTTTGGCAGAGATTTTTAGGATCATAATTTTGCTTTAAAATTATTCTTGCCCTTTATTTATTTGATGGTATCATTGAAAACTGTTTTGATTTGCTATTTTAAAATCTAACTCTGCAAATCTGTACTAATCTGGTAATTTTAGTAGTTTATTGCTCAAAGTGTAAGATTTCTAGGAGACTGTTTTCTTCATGTCAGTATTAATTTTGGCACACACAGCATTAATTTATTTAGAGTCACTAGAAAGATTTGACATTGAGATTGAGATCAACTGTAGGCCTGTGTCTATTGGTTTAAAATAAACATTGAAAAGAAGTTCTATTATATTTTTAAAAATCTCATTTTCAAGAAAAACGTATAGAAAACTTCAAACATACTAACAAATAGAGTACTATATGATGAACCTCTAGCTTCAACATTTACTAATCAATCTCCCCCACTTTTTTCCTCATGTACAAAGCAAATTCAGGCTTAATGCTACTTCACACACAAATATATCTCAGAATCTGTATCTAACTGATGAAGTTTTTTTTTTACATAGCCACAAGGTCATTATGATACTTTAAAAACTTAAATTTCACATATAATTCCAAGTTCACATTAAATTTTCCTTGATTGTATCAAAAATGCCTTTTGTATTAATAGTTTGTTCAAATCAGGATCTAAACAAGGTCCACAAATTGTATTTGGTTGTATTGTCTCATGTCTTTTTATTTTATAACAGTCCTTCCTTTTCCCTTCTCTTTACAAATTTTATGTTTAAAATTACCATACAACATTTTTGCCCTTCTTGGTATACATATATACAGTAAAATTACCTTTCTTGGTTCTCTGGATTTTAGCATGTATAGATTCATGCAACCACCACCACAAGCAGGATACAGAAGATTTTCATCACCCCAAAAACTGCCTCATGCCCTTCATAGTCAAATCCACTCCACACCTGTAACTCCTGGTACTCACTGATCTAATCTCTCATTTTGAGATGGTCATATAAACAGAATCATATAGTATGTAAACTTTTGAGAATGATTTCTTTCTCTTAGCAAAATACATTTAAAATCCATCCATGTTGCATGAGTCAATAGATTGTTCTTTTTTAGTGCTAAGTAGTATTCCACTGTATGAATTGTACCACAGTTTGTTTATTCATTCACCTGCTTAAAGACATCTTGATTAAGGTTAAATCTTAACATCTTGCTAAGGTTAAATACCCAGGAGAGGAGTTGCTAAGTCAGATGGTAAGTGTATGTTTAACTTTAAAAGAAACTGCCAACCTGTTTTTCCAGGGTGCCTATACCATTTTGCCTTCCTACCAGCTAAGAGTTGCAATTGCTCTGAATCTTCTCCAGAACTTTTATTTTTTATTTTTGCCATTTTGATAGGTATGTAGTGATATGGCATCATGGCTTTAATTTGAAATTCCTTGATGTCTAATGATGTGGAACAGCATTTCATGTGCTTATTTGCCTTCTGTGTATTTTTTTTTTTTTTGGTGAATTATCTATTCAGGCCTTTTGCCCATTTTTTATTTGGGTTGCTTGCTTTCTTAATGTTGAGCTTTGAAAGTTCTTTATATACTCTGGATACTGTCAAGCACAAAGCAAAGCCAGGCTGACAGATTCTGTACCAGTCTTAAAAACAACAGGTTCTTTTTAGACTCAGTTTATTGCTTACATAGTAAAAAGAAGAGTAGCTAAAGGTGCCAGCTCTCTGTAGCTTTTGTGCAGGGCGACACTGAAACAAAAGAGGCCAGATGACCACAACAAGAATGATGGGATACACTACTGCTGAGGAGCCCATTCTATGATACTGCCAAGCAGTTTTATAGCTGCAGGTGTGCCTTAAGGGTGGCAAGGCAGAATGCCTTGTACATCATCAGAAACCATGAGACAATGACAAACTGTGACATGATAGCCTCTTGGTATCAAGGGGAGCCAGTGAAAAATGGCCTTGGAGCAGCACCTCATTAGCCCTCCATACTTTCGTGTCCTAGGAGGATCACAAGGCATTCTGCCAAGATTCAGTTGCCATTCAAGCCTTGCCTATGTGGTCTATGTGAAAACATGTGAAGTCATCAGGTGCTGGCATGGAGCTTTTCTCTTATAGATGTAAGTTCATTGTTGCATATATGGTAAATATTTCTTTACCTATCTGGAATTAGTTCTTTCATTCTCTTAACAGTTGATTTCTCAGAGCAGAATTTTAAAATTTTGATGAATTCCAATTTATCAGCCCTTTCTTTTATGGATCATGCATTTGGTATCATGCTCAAGAACTCTTATTTTTTTAAATTTACTTTTATTTTTTGGAGAAATACGGTCTTGCTGTGTTGCCCAGACTGGTCTCAAACTCCTGGTCTCAAGT